TTAATGAGATTTACAGCTTAAAGTATAAACAGAATCAAATCGCTAGGAAACTTCGTAATGAGATCGCACACAACTCGCACAACTGGTTATGTTTTACTGTGCGAAATTTGCAACGAATATTACCCGATGGCATATCTCCCTTCGGAGAAATTCGCTTGGCGATTTGGTTCTCTTCATTAGGAACATATGAATAAAAAAAATTTTAAAAGTGGCCAAACTCATCAGCCTACTATGGCTGAAATAAGCACCTTCTGCGGCCAAAAGGTCCAATTGTTTGTTTTTGCATTCAAATTTTTTAACAGGCGGACTTTATTCTAGATACTCTTATTAGAAAAGAAATTATAAGTTTATGACCGCAAGTTAACCCAGGTCCCCTATGTGTACGGTGACCATCCGTTCTGTTTTTTGCAGAACCGTACTGTTTTTCAAGCTCGGTCCTGCGTAGTTTCTCAAACCTAAAAAACCTGAAAATGTACTGATTTTTTCCAAGTGTCCTGCATTTGTCCCGCATTATATTCGTTATTTTAAAATTATCGGACAATGGATGGATTTTTTCAAAAAATTGTTTTTGGTACTTTTCTTAGCTTTTCTTCATATCTCATGAGGGTATTGATATGCCTCTTACCAAAATATATAACTTGTGGCGACTTCAATGAAAATTATTAGTGCTACAGGCGACCATTTGCATTTTGTCGTCAAAGTCGGAAAAGTGAGATTTTCAATCAAATACGCAGTTTCATTTGATTATTTTTTTTCATTATTTTAAAAATTCGATAAAGAATATATATCATTACAGTAAATTTTGAGCCAAAGATAATGAAAATCGGATTAGATATGTAGATGCTATGGGGCGCAATCTGCACAAATTATATATTTTTGTAAAGGGCACTTTGTAACTCGTCGTTTACGTCGATTCCTGACGTCGATTTTTGACAAATAACTGACAAATAAGTACCAAAAAACTCAAAATTTGACTATAAAATAATCTTTTAAAGATTTTCACTCTTCGTGTAAGCTATTGTAATTATAATATGTTTTACTATACTTTCATAAATATTTATGTAAAAAAAGATTAATATCGATGAAAAAAACGTGATTCATTTTTTAAGTTTAAAATGTATTAAGAATTTAGAATCATATATACTCTTTTGACATTTTTATACTACGTAAATATATGTAGGCATATTTTTGAAAAATTGTCCTTCATTTTGAATCCATATTTATGGTCACCGTACCTATATGTCAACGTAAAGTTTGTGGTTTTGGTTTTAGTCTGTTCTAGAATTTTATTATATTGAACTGCAGTGAAACGCGGATGTGCAATAATACTAATGGTATGTATTATAAAAATCCAGGTTTTAAATAACATTTGTGTTTTTGAAAAATTCACTGTTTCATTATTAAACAAATTTAAACATATTGTGCTTGTTTCGTGGAGTCTGACTTTTTCTGTCCAATCTCGTCGCATTTCATCTACTTTCATTTGGTGTATGGACTAACTGCTGTGTCTTGCTGCTGTATGTTAAATTTACAATTTTCAAACGTCATCAAAGTCAAAAATGAACAAATATTTAACGTGTGGATAGACCGGAAGTCCATTTTTTAAATGGGACATACATGCTTTTTTCACAGATTCGGATCCTGGGGCCAAAAATATGTAACTTTTGTCAGAAATGTTTCTGTTCGAGACCGGAAGTCGGCAATACGACCAAAAGATAGATAGAGAATCACCAACATGGTGAAGGGCATCATTTTCGAAAGGCTGGACGGGTGGTCTGGGACACCCGGTATATGGGCGGTAGGTGTGGTTGTGTGCCGATTTCGCTGATTTTCAAACCAAAGTCTTTTAAGGTTCTAAGCAAGTGTACACGATTATAAGCGCGTATCTGTATTTGTTGATTTTTGGCCGCAGAAAGTGCTATTTCAGTTATAGTGCAGCGCACCAACACAGCACAGTCGGACGGACACCTCTGTAGAGAAGTCGTTGGACCAGCTAAACTTGCGCTATACAGTATAGGAAAATCGCAATGTCTTCAAAATAGAAATCCCACTGGAAATTATTATTAAAAGCTGTAGTGTTTGGATAAATTAACTATTAGCTACTATAAAAAATTTACATGCATTTTGTAACTCATAAATTTTATATCATAGCCTGTTCATATATGTATGTACGTATAAAAGTATACATCAATTCGAATGAAAAAGCCATTTGACAAAAAAAAACTTAAACAAGGAAACTAATGTATATTTTTTTGATTTAAAGGAATACGCCTAGTACGGTTGAAATATTTCCATGCAACTAAATGACACTACTTAAAAAATACTAACAGACTTACTCTGGACGTTGCAGAAGTTTTTGTAACCGAAAATTTTGTTAACAAATCGCATGATTAATAATATAGAGAATTAAATAAATTTACGTCTTGGGAGATTTCATCAAATAAAAAAGGGGCGTTCAGAAATCACGTGATCATTTTTTTTTACATTTTGGGACCTTCCCCCCCCCCATAGTCATCTATGGTGATGTTATGCGAACCCCCCCGCGAATATCGCGTGATTATTTACTGAGAAATTAAAAGGTTTTTTGCTCTAAGCAGAAAAATGAAAATTTTCATTTAACACTTCATTTAAATAAATACAATAAATACGTAACATAAAAAGTACAAAAATTCATTTGAGTTAAGGTAGTGCGTCTTAGCCAGGGAAACATTTTTTAAATAACCTGATTATGCATCAAGCCATGGGTTTGCACATACGTCAGTTACACTAACGATAGAAAGCTTCTCATCTATAGGCGCTGGCTCTACGTCATCATCAACAATATCGTTTTCATCGTGCCACTCTACCACATTTGTTCCGTCACTTCCATTTAAAATACACAGAACTTCAGCTGGACGACGATTAAGGATCCTTAACGAACGTATTGGTTCAAAATTTCTTTTCTTTTTATGCAAAGACTGAAGATGATTATGCAGACCTTTTTTTGAGCTGAAGTATAGCTGACAGTTAATGCACATGCGTTCGGTGATCAACCCTTTTATGGTTGGACAAAAGAAGTCGTAGGCCATTTTATTTATATCAAAATTTAAATGTTTCGATCCCAACGATAGTCTTAAAAGTAAAGGCGCGAAATGTTTTCCATCATGCGCGTCAGGTTTTGGGACAATTAGACCACTAGGTGTTTGCAGAAGAGGGTATGGAGGAGGTAAAAAGCGGTGATGTAAAATTTGNGCATTACTATTACAAACTTTTAATAAACTAAAATCTGTCATCACCTTTTCATTGGGGTGTTGGAAGTACTGGGCAATATTGGCGATCTTAACTTTTGTCGTTGACTGCTTTAGCTCTTTAATTTTATTTAAAATAATGCAGTTATATTTTGCGGTTATATTTTGAAACTTTTTACATAAATACATATATACATATTTATCGACTACGCTCTCAGTCAGCTGATATGATTGCCATATGCAAAATATTTAATAGAAAGGGAAATGTGGTTATTATTGAGATTAAAGCAAATCACGTGATAATACGAAACACCTCCCCCCCCCCC